GATACCTACAACATATAGTTCTACTAATTTATTAAATATATTTTATAAAACATAATTTCATATTACCTGTCTCATGGCATAATAATTCTTATAATTGTTAATATATTATTAATTATTATGCACAACACAAGTATAATATATTTATGTACCTAATATTTAATTGTATTCAAAATGCTATAAAAAGTTGCTAACAATGTTGAAATAATTAAAAGTTATTATGGTTTATTATTTATATTTATATTTCTCAGCTGTAATACCATATTTATATCAACAAATAATAAGTTTAATATTAAAAATATCACTTTTTTAAAAGATATTTGTTATAATTTTCAAAATGATTGTCTATTTTGTTTATCTGTTAGGTTAGGTATATTCTATTATATAGTAAAATAAATATTTAAACTAAGAAAATTCATATTATGATGTATTATTTAAATATTGAACTTGATATTTACCAAATTAATAGGTAGGTGCAATAATAATAATTTACTATGGATTTAGTTTTGATTCAAGGGTTAGACTATTTTATAATAACCTAAAAAATATAATATGGCTAGTTAGATATGTCAAGTTCTGTAAAATTATATAATTTGAAAAATCATTCAATTTTTATTCAAACTGAAATTAAAAAAAAAAATTATTAACTAAATACCTACTTCAAACTTTTGATTTGTTTAATAAAAAGTGAATTGATAGTTTTGGTCTTCTAGATAAGTTGATTATTGTTTAAATAAAATAAACATAAATTTTAAATATAGATCTAATGATCTAAATAATTGTTTTATACTGTAACGGGCTGTGACTACGTACATATTATAATAGTAATAATATATAGAATATTATTTTATATTATGCTGTATTAAGTATAATACGCTTATAATATAATATATTATACTCAATAACAGATATAAATGCTGCAGGGGGCACGTAACCCGATAATAGTAATAATATAAGCGTCCGGGCAGCCACATCGATAAGAGCACAGAACTAGTTAATGGTACAGCGCGAACTCTGATAGGCATACGCGCGCATTATCCATATTCTAGGAAAGACGAAAAAGCCGTAAACAACAAAAAATAGATAACTTTGAAAACATATAATCCCCAATTAACATTATTTCGTAGAGGACACCGAAATGACGTCAGGTGTACGCGGCTATGTACCATTATATAATAAAAATGCCATAGGAGGGATCTAATAGGAATATCGACGAAATACGTCGATGGACAAGTGTCCAGCAGACGAGCACCAACGGAGCAGCCACGAAGTCGATACTAAGTCACATCCCGTTTACTACATTTTTATAATTTATTTATTTGGACTTAGTCTATTTTATGTAATAAATAAATACAATTGAACTAACATCACAAAATCAACTTGTTATTAATTCAAAATACCATCAATATTGAGTTGAATTGGTTGGTACGTTACAAAATTGGCGCTGTGGACAGGGTATCTCAAAAGGATACTTAGAAGAAACCTGAAGAACAATTAAAACATTTTTTCAAAATTTTCGAAAAAATTTTGAAAATTTTTCAACTTCTAAAATTCAATCAAGGAGTAAAATTCATCACTGGATCACCGTTTTGAGATTGATCACCTTCCAGCAACTCCGAGAAAGAATCCTGTACAACTACGTAACACCCAACTACAATCAACATTTCAACCGAGCAAATGGAAGCACCCGCTGTACCAGCTGCGTTGTTGTAAGTGTAGTAAGCCAGCTACTACGGAGTAATACCAATTTCATAAATACATAGTTATTATTATAATATACGATGAATCGGGACTCAGAATTAGGCGATTATGATAATATACGGTAGACCGGCATAACCAAAAGATTAAGGGACATAAAGGACGGTAGGATTCAAAAATATAAGCCGATGAAATATTTTACAGGAAAAACTGAACACGACGAAATCCAAATATAAAAGAGTAAAAAAGATTATTTTATAATAATCATAATGTAGTAATACATGCAGTCGTAAGTGCGTGGGCTGGAATAATGACCACACAAATCACATCCGTGAGAACCGAGATATCGTATATGTAGGCAAGGGGTACGGGGAACTTCATATATAAGGGAGCCCGAATAGACCTGTATTCAGACGTGTACTACCACCCATTAGTGCAAGCACCTTCACGCCACTTTGTAGAATATTATTTGGACTTAGAAAATTATCGAACATTATAATAAAAATTCACAAAATATTACATCTGTCTTATCATTCATTATCTACCACGACTACAACATCAAATAAAGTGTCTGCGACCTGCAATTATAATAACTTGGTTGCCACTTATCTACTGTCAGTACTACGATAGTAGGTACCAAGCCACCAAGAATATTACATAAGTATGCTTACGTAATTAATATCGTGGTGTTAGTCTCCTATGGTAAATGCATGACCATAGTATATAATAATAAGTGAAAAAACTAGTCGTGTTAAATAATATAAGAAATTTTAGGTATTTTGAATTTTCGTTTCAATAAACCGAAATTGTGTTGAATTTTACCAGTGTTTTAATAAAATAAATCGATAAATTTTCGAGGATTAAATTAAATAACATTTGAATAAAATAATAGTTTATTTTAAAATAACGTCGCGAATTATTTTAAATAAATAAAAAAATTTTTAACTTTAAATTAAATTAAATAAAATTTTATTTTCAGGTATTTTATGTTTCAATCATTTTAATAGAATAAGATAGATATTGTTCAGTACTTTAAGTAATTTCTAAATAAAATAAAATAATAATTTTATTTACAATAGATTTATTCAATCATTTAAATTAAATTAAATTAACAGTTTAAATTAAATAAATTTTTAACCATTCTAATAAATTAAATTCATTAACATTAAATAATTTATAATAATAAATTAACTTAAAATAATTTTCAATCATTTAATAAATCTAAAATAATTTAAAATTTTTCCATCATTTAATTAAATTAAATTAAAATAATATTTAGTTTTAAACTAAATCTTCAATCGTTAAATAAAATAAAATAATTTTATTTTACAATAAAATTATCCAATCGGTTAAATAATTTAAATTAATAATTCAATTTTAACTTAACATAATAAATTTAATTTAAAATAAATTTCAATTATTTAAATAAAATAGAAATAGTACTTTGATTTTTAAAATAATTTTCAATCATTTGAATAATTAAATTTAACAATTAAATTTAATCATTTCAGTAAATTAAAATAATAATTTTAATAAATTTTAACCGTTTAGTTAAACAATTTAATTGTTCGGGAATTTTAATCTTCATATTCAAATATAATATTTCTGATTGATTAATTATAGACACTTGTACCTACTATTTAAATTTATTTAAGCTGAACAATTTCTATTTTACGCATCAGATTATCGAATTCAATTGTGTTGCTTATTATAATAATTTGAGTTAATTAATAATTTTATAGAATAATACAATTATTTTAAGAATAAATATAGTTATTGAAATATAACGGAAATTTAATTCAGTTATTTAAAGAAGAAATAAATTAAAGGCATTGTTTTATTTAATTAATTATTTCAGATAGTAATTAATTTGAGAAAAATTTATTTTATTAATTCATTAACAATTATAGTTGAAATTATTAGGACGTTTTCACTAGTTAACAAATTCCATTCTAGAAGCAATTCATTGAAATAGTTCGTGCTGATTATTATAATAAATTAAGAATTAATTAAGAATAATTTTAAGAAAAAAAAAAAGGGGGTTAATTATTTATTGTTGGATATATTGGTGATTATATTGAAAATTTATTGGGGATTTTATTTAAAGGCCTTGAAGTAAGTCCTTATATTTTGTGAATTTTATTGAGACAATTGATGTCTGTATTTGGGAATTTTATTTAAAGGCCGTGAAGTAAGTCCTTATATTTTGTGAATTTTATTGAGACAATTGATGTCTGTATTTGGGAATTTTATTTAAAGGCCGTGAAGTAAGTCCTTATATTTTGTGAATTTTATTGAGACAATTGATGTCTGTATTTGGGAATTTTATTTAAAGGCCGTGAAGTAAGTCCTTGTATTTTGTGAATTTATTTAGACAATTGATGTCTGTGTTGAGATTTTATTGAATTTATTATAGGCCATGTTGTAAGTCCTTTTGTTTTTGAATTTTTACGACAGTTGAAGTCGAGTTATTTTATTGAATTTATTATAGGCCGTGCAGTAAGTCCTGATATTGTGAATTATTTGAAGACAGTGAGTCTATATTTTGAATTTTATTTTACAAGGCCGGAATAAGTCCTTATGTGTTGAAAAGAGTAGGTTGATTTATAAAGAAAATTTTAATTCAATTAATACAGTAATAAGAGTTACTATTTTAAATAGATGTCGTATTGGGTGATTAATTTGAATTAAAGCAATTAGAGTAACTAGTTAAATTAAATTTTAATTTTAAATCGTATTGATTAATTAAATTAAAATTAAATCTAAGATAGGCAAGTTAAGTTAAATTTTATTATTAATAAATTTACTTTAATAAATTATTAAGTAATTAAATTGGATTGAAGTATTGAAGCAATCGGGTTAATTGTAAATAATTAGTAACGATTGTTATTGATTATTTATTGTTAATTGTTGCTGATTTATTTTGATTGTTTGGTTATTTAATTAATAATTTATTGTTTATTAATACATTAATATTAAGATCTTACTGTAGTTATTAGTTATTTCATTAAATTTCATTAGAGAATTAATTATTGCGTACGATTTAAGCAGCGCGCACACCAGATCCGTTACGTCACGTCACGTCTCTATACGGTTTGGAGACGGTCGGAGACGTGATGTGACGGAACGTTAGCGGCACGCACACTAGATACGTCTAGGTTCCGTCTTGTTTGTGCTGCCGTCCTGATAATCGTCAGACTGTCGTCGTCATTCTACATTTTAAATTTTTGCTATAGCGTCGTGTGTATTTGGTCGTGGTTTTTTTTACAATAATTTTGTTACTCTACCTGTATTGCAATTTTAACATGGACTTTTCATCCGACGAGGAACTATTTATTATAGCGAGTATTGCAGAGGAGGAAGAGAAGGCGAAAAAAAAACGGCTATGGGTTCATAACATCAACAAAAAAAGAGACGAGCATGGAGAATTCCATACATTATTTCCAGACCTCCTTCAAGATGAGTCAAAATTTTTTAAATATTTTAGAATGAGTTCGCAAAAATTTTTTGAATTGCTTGAGATGCTGCCGCAACTACAAAAGCAAGACACAAATTTCAGACGCTGTATTCCACCGGACGAAAGATTGGCAATCACCCTGAAGTAAGTAAATATATATACATAATCATACATTCATAATTAAAAAAAAAAATGGTTAATTAATTTATTACTGTTTATTGAACACCTTGAACTTTCTTCAATATTTTTAAAAAAAATACTCATTTTTTAATTTTTTTTTAAAACAATTGAAAAACAATTATTGAAAAGAATATAAATTGCTATCGATACCAAAGATTTCAATTTGATCCCCAGAAGTTGATGTTTCTGTTGTACAATGAGCAATTATACGATGTTGTTGATTTGAAAAATCCACTGGTTTGCTAGGAGACACAGTTGGCGTCATATTGTTTGTTTGGTTATTGAAAGAAGTACTTTGAAATGGTGAGGCAATATTATGTGCAGTTAGTGTCATATTTTCTGTATTATTGAAGGAACTGGATGAGCTGGTACTTTGATGTGGCGAAGCAATAGAAACATTTTGTTGATTAGAAAGATAGAAAGCTTTCATCTCCAAATCCGAGAGTAATGCACTGATTTTTGCTTTTGCTTCGATTTGAAGGACTGGTGGCAGTCTTCTAGTAGTTGCTTCCATAGCGATGAAAAATGCTCCAATGTGGTCACTAGCTGTGTGTTCTAACTTGGCTTTTTTAGAATCTAAATAGTTTTGAAGAACTTGAGCTGTCGTTGGTTGTTGAGATGTTTTATTATTATTTTTACTATGTGAATTGCTGCCAAGAGATGCGGATATAGTAGAAGCAGGTGATGGGTGTGCATATGATGAAGTACTTGGGAGTGGTGATGGGACCTCATATGAAGAATTGCTTGGGAATGGCGACTCAACTGAACCTTCTAAAAATTGATTGGTTTCATCATCATTTGTTATGTTTATGCTGCAGTCTTTATCATGAGAATCAGTTAAATTTCCAATATCCAAGTTTGACTTTTGAGTCCTTTCTTTCATATGTGGTAATAAAAATGACAACGTGTCTTCAAACCTCCATTTAACCCGAGTCCCTGCACCCTGACCACTTACGGTTTTTTTTTTAACAACGTTTCGTCGAAACTGGTCACGTAGACTGGTCCATCTTTTTTTGCATTCCGAGACTAAAAAGTCACAAATGTAAGATAATTATTAATATTTATTCAAGACTGCAAAAGTTAACTATATTTTTTTACTCAGTTATAGTTATGTTAGCTATTATTTTTCAATTAAATTAATTGACATTATACGAGCTAATACATATTTTTTTTTATTTTTGTATCTAAGGACAAAATTTGGAACAGTAATAGTAGGTTTGGGGTAACAAAGTGAATGTATATTTTCCTGTGGTGGTTAAAAGTAAAAAATGTTCAGTATTTTTCAAATTCGACAGAAAAAACACTGTAAAAAATTATGGAAAAACGGGAATTTTAGTAAAAAAAGTAAATGATGTGTGTTTTTATATTTTTTATTTTTTATTTTTTTACTTTTCTGTCTGTGTACATGATAAGTAGTCGAAATAATGCTTCGATTTTCGACTTCAGTATCTTGTTCGATTGGAAAGTGAATATCATTGGTGCATTGGGGAGGTCAAAATTTAAAATTCTCAGTACTTTTCATAAAACAAAAGAAAAATTAAGGAAAAACGGGAATTTTTACGCAAAATCGATTTTTCAGAAAATTGAATTTGGTTTTTGGTTTAACTTTAAAACAAATGACCTTAGAAACATGAAATTTTCACTGGTTGTTTATATTTGCATTTTCTATACACAATAACATTTTCAAAATATTTTGATTTATTTTGAACTGTTTAGGGACATTTTCATTTTTCATTTTTTTTAGTTTTTTTTCTAGAAATATTAATAAAAATTTGTTGGTTAAAAAAACTTGAAAATTTAATAGAAGGCTCCTAGTATATTGTTTCAAAGGCAGATGAAAAATATAAAAAATCGTTCGTCACAGTTTTTTTTTATAAGCATTTTAAGTTCAAAAATTGACAAAATATGGAAAAATCACGAAAATTAGCAAATTATTTTGAGTTAAGAATTCGTAAAAATTTTTCTTATTAAATCTAAGATTTTATAATGTAATACAAGATTCCTTATAAGATTATCTACCTTTATCAAAAAAAAAAATGTCTATAAGAAAGTCAAATTAAATTTTTATGAGCGTTTGAAATTCAAATTTTTACAACATTGGATATTCACTCGATTTCTCATGTAGCGATTTCTTTATTTTGTTGTAATTCAAAAACGAATAACTGTAGATACATGGAAATTTCACTAAATGTTTATATTAGCATTTACTATACCCAATACAGTTTTGAGAATATTTTGAATCTTTTTGGGCTGTTTACGGACATTTTCAAAAATATTAAAAATACATAGGCACAGTTTTTTTTTATAAGCATTTAAAGATCGAATTTTGACAAAATTTATCAAAATCTCGAAAATTATCAATCATTGTAATTAATAAATTATAAAATGTTCAGTTTTTATAGCTAAGGATTGCAAATTCAAAACAAAGGTTCTCATAAATAGTTCATACTGTAACCAAAAAATCTAAAAAATACAGTAGCACAGTTTATTTTTATAGTCATTTTAAGTTCAAATTTGGACGAAATTACATAATAAAAAACCTAGAATAACTATTTTAGTTATTTTGTTGTGATTGTATAATATTATTCGTGGGTACTTGAAATGTAAGGTATAAAATTAATAAAAGTATACAATAATATAATAGGTACAATTATATAAAAATAATAATAATATAATACAACAATAATAATTTTTTTTTATTATTATTTGAAAAAACATCATTCCACAGGGAATAACTTTCAAACTATTTTGACTTAATTTTTGCAGATTTTTAGGTTACGGAGACTCTTTTGCAACTATTTCGTTTAGCAATCGAATTGGCGAGTCTACAGTTCGTAAAATAATTTATGATACATGTGGAGCCATATGGGAAGTTTTGCAACCCATCTATATGCCCCAACCGACTGTGGAACAATGGAAACGAGTTGAAGAAAAATTTTGGCTAATCTGGAACTATCCGAATTGCATAGGTGCATTGGACGGCAAACATTGCGTAATTGAAAAACCACCAAAAACAGGCTCCATGTACTTTAATTATAAAAAAGAATTCAGCATTGTATTGTTAGCTCTTGTTGATGCAGATTATAAGTTTATAACTGTTGATGTTGGGGCTTACGGGAGAAACAGTGATGGTGGAATTTTTAGATCATCATCTTTGGGACAAGCCCTTGCTAATGGGACTTTAAATATCCCCACACCAAAATCGTTACCACTTTCAGACGTAATCGTCCCTCATGTGATCGTTTGCGATGAAGCATTTCCTCTCACTAAAAATACAATGAGACCGTTTCCAGGGAACGCACTTGAAAATAATCGAGACAATAAGGTCTACAACTACCGCCATTGCAGAGCTAGAAGAGTAGTTGAAAATGCATTCGGTATATTGGCAAAAAAATTTAAAATTTATAACAGAAAATTCAACTTAAAACCAGAGAACATGGACACAGTTATATTGGCGACGACAGTGTTGCATAATTTTTTGCGGAATGATAAATGTTATTGGCAACCAGGAGAATTGGAGGATACAAATACTCCAGAAGGGTTGAACAACTTTACAAGAGTTGGAGGAAATAATCCAAGAGAAGCATTTATTATAAGAGAAAACTTCAAACAGTTTTTCGTGTCAGATGGTTCAGTACCGTGGCAGTGGGAGAAAGCGTTTACAACCCGAAGTAATCATTGAAAACGAATATTACCTATACTAAAATTAAATTAAAATTAAATATTTTATAGAATAATATTATTAAGTAGATTAGGTTGTAGGTATTGTTTTTAAAATAAATTATATACATCAGTTTTTTTAATCATTTTTAAAAAGGTAAAACATAATTATTAAATATTTTTTTTTATATTAATATAATTTTGGTATGTGTGTACACAAATTTATTTTTAGTTAAGTCTTACAGCATTTTAACTATGTAGAAATATTATAAAATGTTCAAATGTTCAATGAAAATATATTATACTTACCAGAACTTCCCACTGTCTTTGCTACTTCTTCCCATGCATTCTTTAGCAATCGCATATCAGCGTGTCCTTTTTCGGTTGGATCATAAATAAAAGCGTATTTGCGAACAAACTCAATCAGTATTTCGTCTTCCATTATTTAATAGTGTAATTAAAGTGCTTTAACAACTTTAAACAAAAATACAAATTTGTACCACACAGAGAAAAATGATCGAAATGCTGACAAGTTGTGTCCGTCGTCCGTCAATTTTGCCCTAAACAGCAATATATCCGTCACCTGACGTTTCCAAGATGCGACGTGTCGATACGTGTCGTAACCTGTGTGCGCCTGTTCATAAGAATTTATAATATGCAAAGCTTTCCGTTCGACGGAAACCGAGACGTGACGTGACGGAACGTAACGAAACGGATCTGGTGTGCGCGCTCCTTTAAAATCTTGTACACTAGTGTGTCAGTTGCACTTTAATTCCGTTTTCATTTATACTATTACATTAAGTGATTATGACTATTGATTAATGAGTCAAAAGGATAATAATACTAGTTTGACTGAAAGTGAATCTGAAAGTATACAATTAATAGATCAGGAAACTAGGGAAGTAGTAGTAATTAAATCAACAAGTTCTGATATAATTAATAACGAGAATAGTGAATTCGAGTACAACCAGTTCGAAGGAAACTGATAACGAACCAGTTACCGAAACAACAACAGTTGACGATAAGGAATTATTAGTTGATTTAAGTATAGAAGAAGGTGACCAATATTCCAAAGATTTCGATAGGGAAAAATACTTATGAGCTATAAGGGAAAAAGATTTATTGAATACAAGCATACGACCAATAATAGTAAACGAAACTGAGCTGCGACAGATAGGTACTCGTACACAGAAAGGGATAATACATACGCAATTAGAACACGTTAAACGAACCAAGAAAACCAAAATGCTAGGGAAAATCCCATTAGATAAAGCCACCCTCATGATCCCTACATGTACCGGCGAACGG